CAATCATGCATTCATATTGAACTTCTTCTCTCAATTAGTCGTGAGATAAAAAAAATCACACACATAAACATCACGGATGCACTCATGATTTGTCATTTGCCTACCCATTTCAACTTAAAGTTGATATTCTAGTCTCAAAAAGACTTGAGTACTATTACTAAAATTTCAACATTTGTCCATCTATCACATCCAATTTCCTTCATTAATTATTTGTGTTATAAAGAATTTTCATACAAAGACTTACAAATTTAATTGACAATTCATACAAGTACATATCACCATATGATATAATGTGTCTTTGTTTTTTTTTAAAAGTGATGATGGATCAATTTGATCGGATTTTGACATTCTGGACTCAAATGGACTCAATTACATATTTTGACTTTTATGACTAAATACTACTATGGCACACTTTGTGAAAAGTAAATCACAAAAGTTTACTTCGTAGAAATAAATGGTCTATTTTGTGACATACTTCTCCAAATGTATATTAGTGAGCCATTATAAACCAAGGAATTATGACACTAGTGAATGAGATTTATTGTTATTATGTCCTTTTTTTGAAAGATAATAACAATGATTTTTGGGACAAAGAAATATGCCAAGAGTTATTTGGAAAAGGAGATTTTGAAATATAATATGAAAACATATATGTTTTTGAAATAAATCCATGAAGAGAGGATCAAATATGATAATATAGTTATTATATAAATGAAAAATACACTTTTAGTATTAATCCTCATAGAATCTCTCAAGAACAAGAGATTCGTCGCTCAAGAGACTAAAAATAAATTCAATTTTATGAATGTTCATTACGCATGTTGAGAATAATTACATTCTCTGATTGCTGGATTTATCCATTGTTTTAACTCTTTCATGAGTTTTATTTTAAAAAGGGAGATTACTACTTCTAATTAGACTTTTATTTTGAGTCTTGTACTTTAATATCACTTATGTGTATTTGTTTTAGATTTTAAAATTGATTCGACATCTCATTGTTTTATCTAAAATTATATTTGAGATGATTATGCATTTGGATTCATTGAATGCATATCTATGATTTTTGTTCATAACAAAAACAACAATAGATACATAAAATAGAATGGATACAAAGGAATAAATCCATAAAGTTGTAGAATGATATGTATCTCATTCTGCTTGAGATCATAGCACTCTAAAGTATATGAGAGACATTTGCAAACTATTACCACCTATATTGAATATAAGTGTTTTAACCCATCGTGATGCTACACAATAAATTAAGGAATGAATAGGTATTTATTGAAGTAGTTTCTTTTATCATTAAATGAATAGAATTGTCCTCGTCCTCTAAATGCATCTATAAGTTGTCAAAGTTTACTACGTTCTAATTGTGATCTTCACATAGAATGGAACCATGTCATGGATCCAACTCTTGTGAGCGGTCTCTTATCAAAGTAACAAGAGTTGCTCCTTATACAATTTTGTGGGGCTTCCCCGAAGCCTCACATTGCGAGGACATCATTGTCCACCAAGCTACTTTTCAATGGGTTTTCACATAGAAACTTGTTATAAAATTGAGATATAAATTCTTATACTACATGTAATAAATGCAAAAAGAAAATGCATTGACTCATACAAACTTTAAAATAAGTGATTCAAACCATTATTCATTGGAGTAAAGGTTAAAATGAAATCCAACACATTGTAAGTTGTTGGCCTCGGCATTGCTAAATAGCAAAACATTATTCATCTTGTAAAGTACAAGAAGAAATATTCACTTTCCATGAGGCCTTAGAAATATAATAGTAGACATGTCAATTATTTCTTAAAGTTTACTTCTTAGCAATAATACAATCGAGATTTGTCTATGTTAAGGATATAAAAATGTAGATATCTCATTTTTCAATACAATTTGACACGTGAGAACATATCTACCAAAATGTGAGTCATTTAAGTAATTATGCTTTGGTAGAAACTTACTCATGCTATCTATTTTTCGATTACATAAAAATGTTGCATTTGCAAAACTTCTAGCAAAATTTATTTCTTTAAGGACCCACCACCCGACCAATCAAGTCTATATGTCTTGTTACTGTTAGACAATTCTCATCAAAAGTACTTGATGATTTTGCATATTTTTCGAGATCAATTGAAAACATCTCGTTCCCATGTGAAAATAAGATCTCGGTTAAACTCACATCTAAAAGAATATAGATGGTGAATATTATATCTACTATACGCCCACGTATATATAATTACTTTTCATAGGATTATGCAATATTGCAAGCACTCTTACACATTTCGTTTTTTAGACGATAGTAGACAACCATTTTTGTGTATATTAGTTGGTTACTGGATCTTTGCCTGAGATGTTCTACTTATACATATGTGGTTGTTAACTAATTGTGTCTAATGCGCCTCCCACAACGCATTATAACCGGTTTAAAAGACAAGTATTGTTTATGTTGAATATGAATCCCCAACAATAATCTGCTATTAGCCTTAACAAATAATGTGTATATCGCTAAGTGGAATGTCATCTTGTCAGACAATCAATTTTCCTTTCATCAGGGGAGAAAATAGAGAATTCTCAAATTCTCTAATTGAATGATAGGAATCATTATGATACATCCCTACCATTTCTTTTCCGAGCTTCAAAATGTTATATTGAAGCAGATCACATACACTAGCTGCAAATACATTTGTAAGGCTTGGAATTCAAATTAAAAGATACAACGTTAAAGGAACAAGCATTGTAACCACAAACAGTGGGGTTGTGATTGAGGTCATGGCTCTCTAAAGGAATAGAGGGAAGCCACATGGCTCGATTAATTAGACACCCCAAGTAGTAAGGGTATATAAGGCACAAATCAATATAGTGGTCATCATATGAATTCCTCTCATGAGATTATTTCTGACTAAGCATGTCCATGAATCAATAATGGGGGACACCCTGAAGTTTAAATGATTTCAGAGAATTAAAATCTCAATGTTGACTAGAGTGTGCACGAGTCGAATGATCGACCTTACACTTATATTAATGATATATATATTTATACGGTTGCTCAAAAGAGCATAAAGCACGATGATATCGAACCATACTTTGTTGCAATATCAAAGCAATGAGAATATTGGCATAAATGCGTACAAGTAATCCAGGTATAAATTTAATATTTGACAAAGAGACGGGTATTTGGTATGATAGTGCTAATCAACCAAATGTAAAGCCGGTAGGACATGAAATAATTCTTTGTTAGAAAGCGTATTGAGATAATGAGGTCCTAATTATTCTCACAACGCCCTGGATTTATATATGAAAAGTTATACTTCTCTATTTCGAGCACAAAAATGTTCAACTACTTAATCTATAAGTAGACTCCAAAGTAATGAAGACGCAACTAAAGATTGTGGATATTAAATGTCTCAATAGAATTTCATTAAAGAGATGTATATGAAGTATTTTTGTTATGCTTTTATTATCTTTAATCAAGTGATTTTAAATTATATTGTATATTTACAATGAAACATTCACATTTGGATTAAATCAATCCAGACGAGAGTGACATACCCGTCTAAGTGACCACTTGACTGAAAAGGGATAGAAAAAGATAGATTATGTTTTCCCTCCAAGTGTCATTAAATGTCGAAGATATAGACATGATATGTACTCATATTAAAGAAAATGAGAAATCTTAGATACTTGAAAGTCATAATTGAGATAAAGGATCTTGGGAAACTCGGGTTGTTTTGAAAACACCGAGTTGGTTGAATAATAATTCACCAGTTGCATATATCCAAAAGGGTTCTCACGCAAATTAAAATGGATAAATGTAAACTGTTAGCACTCCCATGATCTGTCGAAATATGGATACTAGAAAAGATCGATTACTGAAAATTTAATGGGAGAAGAAATTCCTTATGTAAGTGCAATATGCGCATGATTGTACTTTGACAAACACATTCGACCAAATATTACATTCTCAAAAACGTGTTAGCTAAAATTAGCTCAGGACCAACACATCGTATATCACATCATATATTCATATATATATATCGTCATTGGAATGGTATCAAGAATGTACTTTGATATCTATATGAAATCATTGGTGTAATATTTATTCATCCCTTATAAATTAATTAAATGATTGATGATAATAATATTTCTAAAGGAATTGGAAATGTCAAAAGTATCACTCTAACACAAAGTAACGTGATTTGAGTTTTCCTGATGATGGATATCCTCTTACCTCATTGATACTTTCTTAAATGAGTATATATTTACAATGAAAGAAACCAAGATGTTATGTACGGAATACCTTGATAAAAGTATATATCAAGTAAATGTTGAATTCTTATTGACGTGTTGAATTCAGGACGAGTCCTTACATACTTATTTATCATCAGTTATATTAGTGCGTTATACTCTTTTTTCTTTTTTCCTCTTTTGACCAAGGTTTATTTTTTCCCATTGGATTTTGTTACTTGGTACAATTTTTTCAATGAGACCACATAATATGCAACATCCCACATTTTAATTTTGCGAAAGTAAAACAATGTTGAAGAAAGAACATAATTACTATATCCAGTCAAAAGTAATTGGAGCGTAGGTATTAGTGCACCATACTTCCTTTTCACTTTGACCGATGTTTATTTTTTCCCATTGAGTTTTGTTCATTGGCAACGTCTTCGCAAGTTAATAATTTGGAAATATTCCCTACGCTCGACACACAGGGGGAGAATTAAAGGAATTGTATTCCTCTATTGTGTGTCTTCGCTAAGGTAATTAATGTGACAAGTATTGAAATGCATATATTTTACAAACACCCTTGATTAAAGTAAATATTAAGGGTAGATGTAGACTTGAGGGGGAGTACCCCAACTAGATTACGTTACACTCTTTTCATTTACCTCAGTTTTATTTTTTCCCCACTGGATTTTGTTACTTGGTAAGGCTTTTAATGAGGTAACGATACATATAAACTTTAAGGATCAAAGCAAAGATGAAATAAAGATAGACTTAATGAAAGAAGCCTATCTTGATGCTATACTCCTTTTTCTCCAGTCAAGGTTATTTTTCCCACAGGGTTTTTGTTACTTGACAGAGTTTTGAAGAGGCAACAAGACACATACAACATTCTATCTACAACTCAACACAAGGGGGAGTGTTGAAGAAAATTCTATGTTGTGTACTATCGTTTAGATAGAATATGTATTAGGGATTTTCTATGTAAATTATGTATTATGGTCCTATTGGTCCATACTTGTAAACCCTACTCGATTCCTATTTATAGGGGCTTTGGTAATGAAACTCTACGAACAATTCCCCACAACACCTATAAGTGTTTACAAGACAAAAATATTATCAATTTAAAATTTGACAAAAAGTGAGTTGACCTCCTTGGCTAAAATTGGAAAGGATCGAGATGTCTTTCGAGCTCTTCTTCCTTCGCTCATCACCTCCTTGCACCAGGACATCCATGGAGGATGATCAGGCTATCAACAAGCTTCTCGCATCAGGCCGTCCCTGCTTCTCACCTTCATCATCGACCATGAGTCCACCAACGCGACGCCATCAAAGCTGATGGAGACCACCGGTGCGATGCCATCGAAGAAGACGAAGACCACCGGTACAACGGCGACGGTCAGCGACGGCGACCTTCTACGATGGAAACACCACCTTTATCTTCTTCTTCGCTGCTTCTCTTCACCGTCTTTGTTCATAAGCTTCAGATCTGTAATCGATTTTAGATTTGTGATAGCTAATTGTCCTGAAATGGGGAAGGAATGCTGGCTATTGGGGCTAAGGTGAGTTGCAGATGGGATAAGGGGCTGGGGCGAGGAGGGTGGTGGTTGTTGGGGCAAGGATGCGCTGTTGGGCGGTGCTAGGGGCGGATCCGGTTGTGGCCGGCTGGGGCGGGTATACCGTACGCATTAGGGCGGGACTGGTGAGCCGTGGAGGGGAGTAGGATGTTGGTCGGACATTTTGACGGAAATTAGTTGGAGCAATGGTGTGGGGTTCATGGTGTTGGGTTGGGGTGTTTTCCGAGAGTGGGGCGTTCAGATGGGAGAGGGCAGTGGAAGTGGGATGTGTATGGGAGAGGCACTGATGGTGGCCGGAATAGCCGTGGTCAAAATAATTGTGTGTCATTGCAGAGATGTAACTGCGGTGGTCGGTGGTGGGGATGTCACTGTGACCACAGATTGGGGCGCAGATGTCATTGCGGGGATGTCACTGCGGAGGTGTCACTATAGCCGGTTGCGGTTTTCAGGCGGCGGCGATCATCGGTGGGAAGAAGTTGTGGATGTCACTGTGTATTTGTCACTGTAGCGTGTTATTGTGATTTGCGGCGGCGTCACTGTGGCGACGTCACTATGGCAACGTCACTATGGCGATGTCATTGTGGCGGTGGTGGCGGCGGTGTAATTGGCGTGAAAATTTTGACTTTGACAACTCTCGGTGACAAGAAAAACGAACACAGTGACATAAATTTTTTGAAGTGACATCATGTTTTCTAATTCCAAATATGTGACCTTGTTAATCACTTTTTTGTCAATTTTAAAAGTGCTCACATTTTTGGAAGTTCAGGCCAATTTTGTAAGATTAAGGGAATAACCCCAAATCTATATTGATTAGAAAATAAGTTTCAACTTTTTATACGTCTTTGGTCAAGTTATAAATAAGAACATATATATTCACTCATCAAATAAGAAGTTTCGTTTTTATCCTTTTATTTGAACTAAACTATTTTGTGAATAAAACATGTTTAGTTGTATGGAGGTGGTATATCTTTTATTTAAGAGATAATAGCCCTAAATAGGACTAAATTAATCTCTAAATACACAAATAGGACTGTGTTATTTATCTTCCCTAAATGGGACTAAAGTATACTCTATCTTCCTATTCTACCCTTACCACAACTTAATAGAATAATCATATTTTAATTTGTAACAAATACAAAATTAATAAAAAATAATTTAACTTATACAAAAAATAGTTAAAAAATATAAAAAAATCTAAAATATTTTTGAAAAATACGAAAATCATAAAAATTCAAAAAAACTATTTTTTTTTAAAAATTAAAAACTTTAAAAATAAATAATAAAAAACACTTTAAAAAATATAAAAAAATATGGAGGTCTTTCCCACAGTCTCGGCTACTGCCCAACAACTTTATCTATGATCGGCTAAAAATGTCATTTTGTGTAAAAACTGTCATTTTTCTTTGAAGATGCCATGAAAATAACATTTTTACTCTTGAAAATGCCAATTTTTTTCTCGAAAGCTGCTATCAATATGGCATTTTTAACACATGTTGAAAATTTTTCGTGTTTTTTTTTTACATTTTTATTATAAATAAAGTTATGTTTATTACATTTTTAAACATGTAATATTAAACCAAAGAAAGGGTAGAAGTGGAAAGTTAGTCCTATTTAAGGATTTTTTAAGCTATGGTCATATTTTGGCAATAAAAGTTTCTTTTTAGTCTAATTTGGGGAATTCGTCCTTTATTTAATTACCAAAGTTGTTTCCGCTATTTTTAAGAAAGAACCAAATTATTATAAAATGTACTACCTCCGTCCCAATTTACTTAGCCATCTTTGACTTTTCGAGTCAAAGGTGGTAAACTTTGACTAATTATTTAAACTAATATATTTATGCAAAATTTAATAATTTTATACTTTTATGATACGGAGTAGTATTTTTAGCAAAGAACATTTTTATATCATTTTCATATTATTAATACTTTCTCTATATAAACATATAATCGGTCAAAGTTAAACGTCATTGACTTAAAAAGTCAAGTTTGGCTAAGTAAATTGGGACAGAGGGAGTATAAAATATACTCCCTCCTTCCCGCAAAGAAATTCCCACTTTCCTTTTTTAGCAGTCCCAAAAGAGGTTCTCATTTCCTTAAATGGGAAGTTATCTACATCAATACAGTGCCAAACAGTGCAAAACAGTGTCGAAACAATATCAAAACAGTAAAATTTAATTTCTGGTAAATTTATTTCCTTAATATGTGTGTAGGTCAAACCATGAACTTCTTTACGGGACGGAGGGAGTATCTCTTGACCGTCGAAGTTGGAGACTCCGGGTCCGACTTATGAGAAGATGGACAGTTTTTTGCAAGGAGCCACCTTCTACCAAAAAAACTATCGAGCTGGTCCTTCCATGCGAATGTGTGAATATTTTTGTTCACTTTTTAGTGGTATATAATTAATTTTAATTTTATGTCAAATAAGGCCTTATAAAGGAGGTTCTGTGCGGCTGACGCCATTTGGGGCGGTTCACGGTGAAATTTTTCGATGAAAGTTTGTGAGAATCTTACTCATTAAGTTTAGTTTAGTCATACCAAATTTCAGCTAAAACTTCAATCGGGAAGACATTCAAATAAATTCTTGAAGATAACTGCGCTTTTAATTGCACACTTATCTTCAAGAATTTATTTAAATGCCTTCTTGATTGAAGTTTTAGCTGAAAATTGGTATGAGTCAACTAGACTTAATGAATAAGATGATTAAAAAGTTTCATTAAAAAATTAGACCGGGAACCACCCCAAATGACATCGGCCAGACAGAACGTCCTATATAAAGCTTTATTTGACATTTTTTTGTAAGTTTGAGGCCCTATCTGACCTTTTTCCCTAATTTAAAAACCTATGAAAGATAAAGTTTACAAGAGAATCTCATTGGAACCGGACCTTAAATATATATATGCGTTCAAATAAAAATGATATCTATATGCCAATTTTATTTGATAAGTTCAACTAGTCTCACCCGTGAGTTGTGCGGGATAATAAACTACCAAACTATTCATGAAGATGTCAAGTTTCGCGTATCAACTCTTTTAATCTGACGTCAATATTCTTGACTCTGTGTAAGAATGATAAGCACTACCAATAGATTTATTTTTTATATTCAAACGTGTATTCAAGATTGCCACCCAAAAAATGAACATGTATAGAAAGTGAATTAACAATTAAAGTTCTGGTGACCCGCCCCCATGAGTATGAGCACTTGTGCATTTGGATTTTTTGAATATGAATACGTAAAAAAATTCTTATAAAAATGTGAATTCTAAAACAACAAAAGATGATTTTAGGAACATATATCTCTTCAAGTTTATATCTACCGTAAATATATTTGTGAAGGTGAGATTTTGAGAAACTTGTAGCCTAAGAGAATAAAAACTAAAATCTCTCACATCTACCCGATGGTGTGTTTTAAAAAACTTATTCCAAGAACAGCAAAATTGTCATGTTTTAAAATCACAAATCAAGAAGAGATAATAAAACTAAACAAACATAACCGAATATTCATATCAGTATGCTTGTGCTAAAAAACTTCAGTAAGATGATAAAATATTTTTAAAAAGTGCACCTTTCTTCTTGTCTTACAGATCAAGTAAGCAAAAAACAAAGTAGTCCATGAAGCATCTTCCAGAAATTCCATGGGTATGGAAAGCTAACATGTGATTTATTTTTGCGAACAACATGTGAAGCAATTTTATCATGCTAGCCGCAACAGAAGAAAGACTGCAATTTTAACATGTGACCCAATTTTGGAGGGTCTCCAATTTTTTTTAACTCTAGTAGTATACCTAGGCCCATTAAAGAGTAATAAAATGAAAAAAGACAGCCCGATCCAATAGAAAGCATTAAGCGGCCTGCGCATTTCTTCCTACTTCCCCAACGGCGTATAGGCTTAAGTGCGTAACTCTTCCGATTCTTCATCTCGTCTTCTGTGATTAATGGGTACTCGAACAAATGGAGAAATCGAAGGGACGAAGCCCTTTTCGAGGAGACTAAGACTTCGATTTGAGCGGCTAAGGAAATGTCGGAAAGGTATGAAATTTAACGAATTTATTCTTTTTACCGTTAGATTTTAATGTTAAATATCTTCTATTCTTCTATAATTCTTTATTCTGCTAATATGCTACCGATGCGATTCTCATTTCCACAATTCCTCTACTTCAGATTTAGTCATTATTCTAATCTTCTTCAAACTTTTATTCAATTCCGCAATTCCCCAATTTTTTTGGACTGCTGCCTGCGAGGAAAGCAATTCTGCCAGCTGAAATTTAACCAATTTGAGAACTGCAGCAGGAAAGCCAAAGGGTCGAGGACTTGAGGGTGGGCACTACCGCACCGGCTATTCTGCAGGCCTGCTATTCTGTTAATCTGTTTCAGGACTTCAGTCTTTGTTTTTGTTCTCATTCCTAGTTCATACTTTTTAGTTTTAAATTGTTATTGTTAATTTGGATTCATCTACATCTTAGAAGGATTGCATTATTTAAATAACTGTAGTTTAATTTCAAAATATTGGATGTGATTTTGATGCTCTTGGTGTTTTAGTCGAACAAAAATTTGCAATTTAGTATGAAGTATAATTATAAAATATGATACTCCGTATTACTTTTTATTTTATTATTCGTATTTTTTGTATTAAATATTAGTGTTGGTCCAAAATAGGACGCAGGCTCCCGGGTAGGCTGGAAGACAGGCTCCCCGTTGGGCTGGAAGGCAGGCTCCCCGCTGGGCTGGTCGACAGGCTCTCTTAAGTTTCCGCTCCTCGATTGCCCTGATTGGTTGGGCCGACTCGAGCTCTAGGTTGTTGGGCTTGGGCCCGCTGGTCCAAGTTCGGGGCCTGGGCCGATTAGGCTCTGGGCCTGGTCCCATAACCCCATCATGAGTACCCCACTCCCTTAGTCGAGTAGTAGACTCGGCTAAGAGGGAGTAGTTCAGGTCAGCTGCCCATTAAAAAATATTCACATATCAGGGAGTCATAATTGTGTATTCTGTCAATCCCATAATTTATGGAGACTTCCAAATTTTGAATAAGGCGCCCAGCTTTAAAAAGGCTCCGAATTAATTCCCCCAGCGTTCTAGCATTTCAGCAGTAAGTTTTTCTCCCAGACTTCAGGATCCAGGCCAGCCTAAAAAAATCCCTGAAATTCATTATTATTATTTCAAAAATTATTTTCGGATTTTATTTTATTATTCCTTCCTTTTCTTTTCTTTTCTTTCCTTTTCTTTTCTTTCCTTCTTTTTTTTTCTTTCCTTTTCTTTTCTTTTCCTTTCTTTCCTTTTTTCTTTCTTTCCTTTTCTCTTTCCCGATTCCCTGCATGCGTCTTCCTCGCGTAGCCTCGGTGCCGCAGCTCTGATCCAGTCGTTGACTTTGAAGCTGGATCAGCCGCCTTCTACAAGATGGCGCCGCCATCTCCTCCTCGTCGTCGGTCGCGGCTCTAGGTTGGAATCGCGGCTCTATTCTCGGGCCATCCGTCGGCCTTGCAGATTCCAGTTGGCCGGCAGTTCTCGTGTGCGGCTCGCCAGCATTACAGAAGTCTGGTGGCTGTCTTCCCCAATGGCCGGCGTCGTTCTCGGAGTTCTGCAGTTCTGGCCGGCGTGTCAGCATCGTTTGAGGGAGCTAGCGGCCGGTGGACGAACTCGAGCAAGACTTCGCCCGACGAGGTTGATGAAAACCTCCGGCTAGTCCTCCACGCAGGTTTGTGCCCCTGCCCAGCGGTGCAGCCTTCCAGGTCGGTTGAACTACTCCAAGATCGTGGCAGCTTCCAGGCGGCGGCGGCAGATTCTGGGCGACGACGCCATCCAAGGGCGATGGCATCCAGGGAGGCAGCTGCTAGGCCGGCAGCCACCCGGGCAGTGGCGGGCCTAAGGTCGGAGTGATGGACCGGATGCCTCGACTGGATTCTCTATTTCTCAGGTTCTGCGTTGTCTGGCGGTCGCCCCGGCGCTTTTCTTCCTCTGGATGGCAAGGTGGTTGCCGCCATCCTCTTAGTTTGTTGTGAGCTGATTGTGGAATCTGAGAAGACTTGCAGGCTGCTGCCTGGCACCCCACGTGAACAGTTCCTCTGGTGCTCGGCTTCACCCTGGCCAGACAGTGTGGGTTGGGGACCGGCGGCCGCCCTTCTGCCGACAGGCGTTGCTCAGGAAGCCGACAACTACCCACTAGGCGGCCAAGGCGGGTTCTCCTTGTGTTGATGCACTTCATGTTAGCCCGCGATTTGACGTTTTGTTATTTCTCTTTTTTATTGTATTTGCAGGTTTGACTTTCTCCCGGAGATGGCTCCAGCTAGGCGGACCACTACTGCTGAGGGTCGGCAACTGAGCGCGGGCACAACATGCGGTCATGTCAGATTCCGACGATGACTCGGGTGCTCGGGAGGACCCGAACCTTTGGTGGGACCTTGATAATAGCGGGATAGCGGACCTCCCCCCTCGTATCCAAGACGAGGACCTTGTCGTTGCATATAGTTTGATTGGCCATGATTGTTTGTTGGAATCTCCGGGGGCTACCGACATATTGAGCAATCCACCAACTCCCTACTTCGGGGTCCATATCCGCTCTCTGGAGTTAGGGATGGTCGTGCCACTGCACCCCTTCCTGGTTCGGTTCCTTCACTTTTTGGGTGTGGCCCCGGGTCAATTGGCTCCGGCGGCCCATATGTTCGTTGCCGCTTTTGTGGCACGGTGTGAGGATGTGGGCCTCACACCCACGATTGATCTGTTTTTCAGCTCCTTCCAGTGGCGTGCTTCTAGATTTTTCGCCTTACTCTCCCAGAGGCCGGTGAGCAAACTGTTTCGATCGGGTTACCCCCGTTCAGGGAAAGGGTGGAAGAAGAGATGGATATGGGTATCCGACCCCAACCTCCCGTCACCTCTGCCTCAGTGGGGTGAACGGGTTCGGAAGTGTGACCGGGTCGCTCTCTCCCCTAGTCTCAAGTCCTCCATCGAGATATGGTCCGCAGGCGGTCCCCACTCCATCGGCTCATATTTAGGTGACTGTCATCTGCCTGGTCTATGTTTGCTACTTTGTATTTTATTCTGCTTATCCTCACATCTTTCTTCCGCAGTTGTGCCTGAGAAGCTCGTTGTTGAGGCGGAATCCAATGAAGAGGAGTAGCCTCAACAAGTCATCGTTCCTGTGGCAGCAACGGCTGCAAAGGGGAAAAGGCACGGAGCCCCCCCTCCAAGAAGGGTGAGAGTTACCTTCGGGCCTCGGGCAACTACGTCAGTGCAGGAGAAGCACAAGGGCGGACTCGTCGATCTGCTAGTCAAATTGGATGGGTCCGATGAGGAGGAGGAGGAGGAGGAGCCCTGCCCCGCCATTGCTGATGTGGCCCCCAAGACGGTTGCGGGGAAAGAGCGTGGAGCCTCCTCCCCGGGGCGAGGGGAACGAGTCTCGAAGAAGGCCAAGGTCACCCCCCATATGGCCGAACGGAGCAGCCATGACACCCAGCATACAGTTACTTACGCCTTCCCATCTTCGAGTGCCTCGATTATTCATGAAGGCTTCCCGTTCGTGGATTATGCTTCATCAATCCTCCCACCATGCGACCTCACATGTACGACTTCCCAAGAGTTTCATCCCCTCTTGGAGGGTTCTATCCGGTCACATATCGAGGTAGGTTGATCACGTTTTGGTGTGGATTGTGTTTATCCCTGAACCCCCTCACATTTTCGTTTGTCTATCTTGCAGGGGCTCGCCAAGACCATCAGGGCACTTCACGCAGCCAATCATTCTCAGGACAGGCTTCAGCGTGAGGCTGACGAAGCTAGGGCTGCCCTGTGGGCCAGCCAGAAAGCCTTCTCCGAGCTGCAGTCCTCGCGTGCACAAGAATGTGAAGAAGCGGCCAAACAAGGAGCCAAGAAAGCGCTCTCCGAGTTCCAGGCCTCCGAGCAGTTCCAGAAGCTCATCTCTGCGAGGGTGCAAGCGGAAGAGTCTGAACTAGTGCAGAGGTGGCTGACGACCCCCGACGGAGAGTATTGGCATGCTCGCGAAGTTCTCTATGCTTTTCAGAGTGGCAAGTATTTGATGCAGCAGAAGGTGTATGGCCGGTTGAAGGATCTCGACCCTGACTTTCATCCATCCACACTGGGCCTTCCTGGCCGCATGAAGAAACCCGTGGAGGCGATAGCCCTTCTTCCCCCAGAGGTCGTCCGTCAGGAGGAGGAGCTTGGTAGTTCTAACGAATGGGCCTGGTTCTTTCCGCCAGCTCCGGGGAACATGACTCCTGTGGCCCCTGGCCAGGACTTGGTTGGTGTGTTAGATGACATTCCCGAGGTTGATGGTGATGGGTCTGTCCAGCCGTGACCTTGTATTTTGTATTTCCTTTGTTTCCCACTTCAATACTTTGTGGATGTTTGATTTTTATTTCATACGCCTCCTTTTCAATACTTTGCATTACGAATACTTAGCAATTTATTCGGGGATCTGGCTTCTCTAACCTCCCGAGGGGCGGTTAGGCTGGCGTGGCTGAGCCTATCCGTGCCCCTCCTAGTTGGGTAGAAGTGATCTGTTCGCTATTGATATGGAATCAACAAGTAAGCGACTTGTTTGGCCAGCAAGGTCGGACATTGAACCGACGAGGAAGACCCTTAGGTCGGTATCCTGAACGTTCATGACCCGGGGGTCAGTCCTACTGTCACTTTAACCCGTCCAGTTTGCCCGGACTTGGGGAATAATCTGGTTACTCCCGCATGGATAGCCAAACAACAGGGGCGGACCCTGCATGATCCACCAGAACGAACCCGCACCGCCAACTCAGGGATGACGAGAGTGCGAGCTGCTTGGCCAGCGATGTTAGGCGGTGAGCACTCGAAAGGACCCGGAGGTCAGCATCCTGAGTACCCTCGACCCGGAGGCCGGCCCTACCGTCGCCTCGACTGTCGCGGCTAGCTCTTTACTTTAGAAAATTTCCCGGATTCTTGAAAATCGCTTGGCTATTTTCGGTTAAAGAGCCTGGCCGAGGTTGGCCAAACACCGAGGGGGGGCATAGTACCTTTTTTTTTTTACCGCCGCCCTTTATTGCTAAGTGAGGTCGGACCTCTTTTGATGACAAAATATCGCTAGCAAAGTATATTGAATTCATGATGTGGGCGGACCACATGAAGAATTACAAATTGCAATCCCGTGCTCGGAGCACAGGAGTTTACAAAGAAAAGTGAAACTTCGATTTTCTACTGGTAAAACTTCATCAGGTGCTCGGCATTCCAGACGCGGTCTACCAACCGACATGTTGTTGTCTTCAACTTGTATGTCCCAGGGCCGATCACTGCGTCAACCACGTAAGGGCCTTCCCACTTGACGGAGAGCTTACCTCCCTCTGTCGGCCTGCTGGCCTTCCTACGTCTTAGGACATGTTCACCGACGTCAAAACTCTGGGGTCGGGCTCGGCTGTCTTGGTACGCCTTGACTTGTCGTCGATAGTTTTCCGTTTTGATGAAGGCACGGTCTCTTCTTTCCTCAATGAGGTGGAGCTCGGCTCGGAGCCTCTCCTCATTGCTGGCTGGTTCAAACTCTTCCACTCGCCGGCTGGGAACTACGGCCTCGAACGGTGCCCTCGCCTCAAAGCCATAACACAAGACAAAGGGGGTCTCTCTTGTTGCCTTCCTTGGGGTTGTTCTGAAGGTCCACAGTATATTGTTCAACTCCTCCACCCAGGCAGTCCCGAGGGCCTCCAACTTCTTTTGCAGTCCATCGACGATCGTCCGGTTGGTGTTCTCCACCTGTCCATTTGCCTGGGGGTAGCAGACCGCAACTCGGCTGGATTCTACGCCCCACTCTGCACAGAATTGTCGGAAGGCTTCGCAGTCAAACTGCCTTCCGTTGTCGGAGATTATTTGGAGGGGAACCCCAAACCGGCAGAAAATATTCTTCCATATGAACTTCTTACATTGGAGATGTGTGATGCTGGCAAGCGGCTCGGCCTCAACCCACTTCGTAAAGTAGTCCACTGCGACGATGACAAAGTTCCGGTTTCCCGACCCGGTTGGTAAGGGACCGACCAGGTCGACACCCCATCTTGTGAATGGAAGGGCGGTGTTGATCGGTGTGTACATCGTTGCTGGTCGGCCGGGGCTCTTCTGGAACTTCTGGCATGTCTCGCATTTCCTTGCATAGTCAGCGCAATCCTTCATTATTGTTGGCCAAAAGTACCCGTGGAGGACGACCTTCCTAGCTAACGTGCCTGCCCCCTGATGGGCGGAGCATACACCCCTATGGAGTTCAGAGACGATCATTTTCGCCTCATGTGGGCGTAAACACTTTAGCAAGGTCCCATTGTAGGACCTCTTGTACAGCTTCCCATCCAAGACGACGTAGCCCGGAGCTCGTCGCCGGACTAACCTTGCCTCCTCCTCTTTATCGGGGAGCGTCCCGTCGGCTATGTAGCGCAGGAGTTCATCCACCCAACACCAGGCGACTGGTTGCAGGGGAAGGACGTCGATGGACGGTGAGGCTGATATGCTTGAGGTCGTCATCTCCTCAATGCGTGCAATTCTCGATATATGTTCAGGTAACCCTTGGGATAGCTTTGAGAGGAGGTCTGCATCGGAGTTTTGATTTCTCGGGATGCAGATCAACTCTGCTTGCTTGAACAACCCGAGCAACTCCCGAACAACATCTCGATACTTCATCATTCTTTCTTCCTTCGCTTCGAACTCACCTTTGACCTGGGAAACCACCAGGCGGGAGTCACATTTCACCGTTATCCACTCTACTCCCATGGCGGCTATTAATCGTAGCCCAGACAGTAGAGCCTCGTACTCCACCTCATTGTTGGAGACTTTGAAAAGATAGCGGTAGGCATAGTAGGCTCGGAATCCCTCGGGTGAGATGAGGACGATTCCGCCCCCGCATCCCTTGGCTCCTGCCGACCCATCAGTCGCTAGAGTCCACCATTGTTCATTGCTCTCTTGTTGCCTATCTGCCACTTCTCGGGCCGTGCATTCCACACTAAAATCAGCCAGAGCCTGGCCTTTGATGGACGTCTGAGGCTGGAAGTCAACCTCATATTGGTTGAGGAGCATCGACCACTTCACTACCCGGGTTGTGTCGGGCGCCCTTAGAGCGGCACCTAGGGGTTGGTCCGACAGGATTCTGATCGGGTGCGCTTGGAAGTAGTGTGTCAACTTCTTGGCGGTGATGTAGGCGGCATATATTGTCTTCTCGAGCGGGGTGTACCGGAGCTCAGCATTCTGGAGGGCCTTGCTCACATAGTAGACGAGACGTTGAACGTCTTCCTCCTCGCGAACCAGCACGGAACTGATTGCGCCTTGGGAAACCCCAAGATAAAGGATTAACGTCTCCCCCCTCTCCGGCTTGCTGAGTACATGCTCAGAGAGGAGGTACTTCTTCAGGTCGTCGAAGGCTCGCTGACACTCATCATTCCAGACGAAACCATTTTGTTTCTTTAGGACCTGGAAGAAGGGTAGGGACTTCTCGGCGGACTTGGACATGAGGCGTCCGAGGGCTGCTAGCCGGCCGGTGAGAATCTGGACTTCTTTCACTGACCTCAGGGGTTCCATGTCAAGTATTGCCCTTACCTTCTCAGGATTTGGCTCAATCCCCCTCCGTGTGACCATGTACCCCAGGACCTTGCCTCCTTGGACGGAAAAGGTACATTTCTTCGGGTTCAGGCGCAGACGAACAGCCTTCATGATCCCGAAGATCTCTGCCAAATCTTCTGCATGATCGGACGCCCGGGTGCTCTTGACGATCATGTCGTCAACATACGCCTCCATGTTCCTTCCGAGCACCTTCCGGAATACCTTGGCCACCATCCTCGTGTACGTCACCCCAGAGTTCTTCAGCCCGAAGGCCATGACAAGATAACAAAAAATCCCCTCTGGGGTGACGAACGAGGTCTTCTCCGCATCTTCTTCATGCATGAAAATCTGATGGTATCCTCGAAAAGCGTCCATGAAGCTAAGGAGCTCACATCCGGCCGTCCCATCGACTAGTTGGTCGATGTTAGGCAATGGGAATGGATCCATCGGACATGCCTTGTTGAGATCGGTGTAATCAACACACATCCTCCAGGTTGGCGGCTTCGGGGCGAGGACCACGTTTGCCAGCTAGACCGGGTACAAGACCTCCTGGATATGCTTGATACTCAGGAGCATGTTGACCTCCTTCTTCACGAATTCCCTCCTCTCGGTTGAGAGGTGTCTTCTTTTCTGCTGGATGGGCTTCGCCGTTGGATTGACCGCTAGCCGATGGACAGCGATGCTTCGGTCAAGGCCAGGCATGTCCTCCGGTCCCCATGCGAAGACAACGCTAAAAAGGACAAGTACCTGGATAATCTTCTCCCTCAAGCCGGCCGGGAGCCCGGTCCCGATCTTGACCTTCCGCTCCGGCCTCTCGGGGTCAATCTGGATCTCCTCCACGTCTGAGGTGGGTTCAGCGCGGAGCTGACCCTCCTCATACTTCATGGCTTTGATGTTGATAGTGTGGACCCTCAAGTCTTTTTGACCGATTTGTTTGCAAGTTTTCAGATAGCAGCTCCTAGCCATTCGCTGATCTCCCCTGGTGACTCCGACGCCATTCGGAGTGGGAAACTTCATGCATAGGTGCTCCTAGGATATCACACATCTGAGGTCTTCCAGGGTCGGCCTTCCCATGATGATCTTATGTGCACAAGTTAGGCGTACGACGATAAACTCGACGTCTAACTTGGATACGCAGGGTTCGGAGCCCACCATCACGGGGAGGACTATGCTGCCCTCCGACTCAATGGAGTCCCCAGTGAAGCCCGAGAGTGGGGTTCTCACCGGGATCAAGTCTTTTTGGTCCAGCTCGAGACCTTGGAAGGTGTCATAGTACATGATGTTAACGGAGCTCCCATTGTCCACCAGGACTCGGTGGACGATTGTGTTGTTGATTTCGACCTTGATGACCAAGGCATACCTGTGCGGCGGAGGCATCGGTGGAAAATCTGCGTCGGTGAAGAAGATGGGGTCCCTCTTCACCCTCTTGTCGGCGGGAGCCCTGGTTATCTCCCCGACGTATAGGGCTCGGGCCCACTGCTTCCAATCTCCAGAGGTGTCACGTCCTTGGGGTCCCCCGAATATGAACGAACATCGATGGTACTTCCGGAGGCCGTTCCCTAGGTCGGCATCGTCTTCCTCGGAGAAGGCGCCAAGCTCCCGCTTCTTGGCAGGCGGTGTCTCCTTTGACGTGGTAGCTTGGTCGGACCGCTGCCACATCAGGCTCCTCTTCTGCGGGATGCCTCCTTGTTTGCCAACGAATTGGCCCAGGTACCCTTTCTGGATGAGTTCTTCAATTTGCCGCCGAAGAATGACGCAATCATCTGTATCATGCCCTGCTCTCCGATGGA